CTACCAGCCGCTCCGTGGGAGAAAGATGAGGCTTTCTACTCCCGTAAAGATTTACACCCTCGGAAACCCTGTACAGGATCTCTATGGGTTGGAACTGACTCGACGGCACTTAGCAACAACAACAAAATGAGATTTGCGTCTATAATTTCTATTTTGTACAATGAACATTCTCTCATTGCCACTCGTCCTTTCATTACTGTATTATTAACAACATGCTTTAATATCTGGTAGCACAACATTCCCTCATTACTTTTGTTTTTTAAAGTTTTTTAATGGAGAATTATATCTGTTACATTTCTAACTTTTCCTTTAATTTTTAAATCATATGTCATATCTCCCTGCAGGAAAACCTTTGTTGTCATTACATTAAATCTGCATACTAATTTAGAGGCGAATTAAATGATTTATCATTTTGAACCTTCTCATTCTTGCTTTTATTCAAATCATTTTCTTCTTTTTTTGGGGGGGGGGGTGTATCACAGTAGAGTTTGGGGATAGGTTTCATCTCTAAAGGAGATATTGTTATTGTTATGTGCCATGGAGTCGGTTCCGACTCATAGCGACCCTGTACAGGGTTTCCGAAGCTGTAAATCTCTATGGGAGCAGGAAGCCTCATCTTTCTCCCATGGAACTGCTGGTAGTTTCGAACTGCTGACCCTGAGGTTCTCAGCCCAATTCGTAACCACTATGCTACCAGAGCTCCTTCTAAAGGAGATACATGTTGTTGTTGTTAAGTGCCATTGAATCTATTCTGGCCCATAGCGACCCTATATAGGGTTTCCAAGGAGCAACTGGTAAGCTTGAACCACTGACCGTGCAGATCAAACTGACTCTGCAGTCTGACACATTAGCCCACTGAGCCATACCAGGACTCCAAGGAGATACATATGTATAATTAATTCCAGTGATTTGTCAACATTTAAAATTGTGAACTAGAAAATTTGACTCCTATGGCTAAGCAGGATTGAAAAAAAGCATGCAAAATATGTTGACTATTTAAAAGAATCGGGTGGACATGAAAACCAAGCTGAATGCTACACTTCCAAGGCAAATGATCAGAACCATCACGACCAGTTCTGGTGAGAAGACTCTTGGCTGAGTCCTCACAGGTCATGAGCAGTTTATGTTGTAGCTGCTAACTCGGCACCAGGAGCTGAGTTTTACTCAGCCACCACTGTTTTCAAGGGCAGTCCGCTGCTTTCTCTTTCTTACTGTACTAGGGAGAACTTACAGAGTAATGTCATGGATAGACAATTTTTTCTTGTTCCTGACTTTTATAAGAAAATGTGCAGTGGCTGACCTTTACATATTGGTCCAGGAAATGTTTAAAAAAAAGAATCATCCCAGTTTATTTATTAAGAGATTTTGTGATCTGTCACATGCGGTTGCTTGAAGTCAAAAATGAATAATACCTATGTCAGAATTGTGTGAGATTCTTTCCAGAAAATTCATCCAAAAAATATTATGTAGCATCTAGAAAATGTGCATTAAATGCCTCTTAGACATTGCTGGTTACTAGGAAGGGAGTAAGTAAAATGGAAGGAAAATACGCTGTATCCAGAAGCAACTAGTTATTTTTAGTGATGGGCAAAATGATACCAATGGTGGATGTAGTCAGCACAGAAAACCAACATAATAATAAGCCTTTGAGCACATATGGATGGGTATGGTGGTGGTGGTGGTATGCCATGGACTCAGTTCATAGCAACCCTCTATAGGGTTTGTGTAGGCACAGATACATATGTAGGTGAGAACAGATAGAAGTATTCATGTTGTTTGTAAGTGACGTTGAGTCGGTTCTGACTCATAGCAAACCTGTACAAGGTTTCCAACAAACAGCCGGTGGCTTTGAACTGCTGACCTTGTGGTTTGCAGTCTAGTGCTGATCCTACAGTGCCACACCTGAAGTATTTATAGGTAAGTATAAATCAATTACAAATCTGTGGGTGCAGCTACATATAGTTTTGAAAACAAAAATACAGATAAGGTTGAGGACGAAGATGCACCTGACCCAAGCCATAGTATTTTCAGTAACCTCATTTACATGCGAAAGTTGGACAATGAATAAGGAAGACTATAGAAGAATTGAGGAATTTGAGTTATGGTGTTGGAGGAAAATACTGAAAGTACCACTTACTGCTGAAAGAACAAACAAATCTGTGTTGGAAGGAGTACAGTCGGAAAGCTCCTTAGAAGCCAGGATGACTAGACTTTGCCTCTCGTGCTTTGAACATATTATCAGGAGGGACCAGTCCTTGGATAAGAACATCATACTTGGTAAAATGGAAGGGTCAGCAAAGAAGAGGAAGACTTCTAACTCTGACACAGTGGCGGCAACAATGGGCTCAAGTGTAGCGATGATTGTGAGATTGGTGCAGTGTTTCGTTCTGGTTGCATAAGGTTGCTGTGAGTTAGTACTTACTTGACAGTACCTAACAACAACACAGAAATAAACAAACATCTCCAACAGTGGTTTTCTGGGTTTGAAGGCATAGGACCATCATCTCATCAGACAACTCAGTTAAGTTCTCAAAAGTCACCATCTGCAGCCTAGTGAAGTGAGTAGCATTTGGGTCTTAAAAGCTTGCAAGCAGCCACCTAAGTCACAACTACAGACCTTGATTTACCAGGAGCAAAGCAGTAAGGTGACAACCAAAAGTGCAGAGAAAGTATGTCTACAAGCTCTGGTAGCGTAGTGGTTACGAATCGGGCTACGGGCCACAAGGTCAGCAGTTCTAAACTACCAGTGGTTCCGCGGGAGAAAGATGAGGCCTTCTGCTCCCGTAAAGATTTACAGCCTCAGAAACCCTGTGCAGGGTCGCTATGAGTCGGAACCGACTCCCCGGCACATAACAACAACAACCACAACTTCACCTTCCCTAAGACCAGAAGAATTAGATGGTGCCTGGAAACCACCTCTGGCTGTTTTGAGTAGGGCCCAATAGTTGATCCTTAATTTAAAACAAACAAACAAACAAACAAAACAAGCAAACTGGCAGAGAAGACCACCTGAGACTGTTGCTCACCAGTCGCTCTTCGGAAACTTGTATAGGGTCGCTATGGGTCGGCATCGACTCGATGGCACTTAACAACAACAAAGATTTACAGCCTCAGAAACCCTGTACATGGTCACCATGAGTCGGAACCGACTCTACGGCACATAACCACCACCAACCAATCTAATGCTGATGTTGTTATTAGTGCATGTATGATTCTTATAAAATGTTTCCAAGTAAGATTGACCTGCAGTTTTCTCTTTAGGTGCTATTTTTGTTTATTACCTTTGATACCTTTTTGGCATTGTTGTTGTTGTGAAGTGCCATTGAGTCGGATCCGACCCATAGCGACCCTATACAGGGATTCCGAAGAGCGACTGGTGAGCTTGAACCGCCTACCTTGAAGTTCAAACGGCTTTGTAGTTTGGCGCATTAACCCACAGCGCCACACCAGGACTCAAGAGTTCCATTAATTTATCAGGAGAACTGGAGAGCTTCCCACATACTCTAGAAAATGTCAGCTAACATCTGAATGTCTGTTGAATAATTAATAAAAATGTTATCTATTAAACCATCAGTGTTTTCAAATTTCCCAGGAATATTTCTCTGACCCATTTCTTTATTCTTTTCAAGTTTTCCAATTAAATTAATTTTTATTATTTGTATTTTCTTAGAAGATGATTAATTACTATCCAGTAATAAATTCAAACTTACTATAATAGAGTTATACGTACTATTATCTGAAAATATTTAAATTTTGTTAAGATCTGTTGCTACCTTCTTTCCTATTATGTTACAACATTGATATCTGCTGTGGTGCAGTGAATTACTTAAGATGTCTTTTCTAGCCTTAGTCTTTCTAATTCCCACCAAACAACTTTTATCCTGATGAGACTGATTAAGAGGAGCTTGGAGAAGGATTATAGGATTTAGTTGTGAGTGACTGTTAACTGGGGTGATTTTGATAGTGGAAATTTTGAAATCTAATGAGGAGATTAGTCACCTTTGTCATCCTGCTGGGTATAAAATGAGTCATCCCAGGAGCAGTAGCACCACCTTCAAGAAAGTAGAGCCAGTTGTGGAATGTGTCCTTTGTACCCTGAGGTCCCTGCACATTAAACCTCCTCAATCCAGGGACAGAAAGCTGTGACATCAGAGAAGCTATGTAGGAGTGATAGCAGCAGAAGTAAAAGCCAGAGCATTACACAGACAGGTGGGCTTCCGAGACCATGGAGCAAGTATATCTGACAAGAGACTCATTTGTGTAATGAGGTGCCTCAGGCACTTAATATGGAGAGCTAGTTTACTGACCTATGGAGCGAGAACCTAAGTCTTGGTCTGACGCTTATAGTGGAGTGCAGTACCCTTTAGGCATTCATCGGCAGCTCTAAGAGAGCTTTGTCACATTTTCCGAGCAGGACAGAAGCCTGGCCACGGGGCTGAAGGCCAGAGAGAGGCCTGCCTGTGATCATAGTGAGAAGAGGTACTGCAAACTTAATAACGCTATCCTTACCATTTCTGATCCAGAAATGTAACCCTAATAACCCCCTAATTGTGAGTATGGTTTGTGAGTTCTGTGTGGCCACTGCAATGAATGATAACACCCACTGAGAAGTAGAGAGTTACTGTGGGGGAGAGATGGTTAGGGTCAGCAGTGGTAAAGAAGGTTGGAGGGTGGAGGCGTGTCTGACCCCAGTCTCGCAGGAATGAACCCTGGACAGATGTTTATGTTGGTTCTCCTCCTTCCCCCTTGTGAAGTCAGAGGAGTTCAGACCCCACCCCTATGTCTTTTTACATTCACTGTTCTTCCTCTTTGTGCAGAATTAGTAACTCATTATGATTAATGTGCATAAGCTCTTGAAAAGTATCAATAAAAATTATCATTATAAAAAGTATTGATTATTTTACATAATCTGGGTTTACTTTTGGTAAATTCAGATTTCTTATATGCCGAAATTCCATTTTTAAGAATGTTTCCATTTTATTTGTTTGTTCCTTTTGCAGAATATGGCTGGAGAGTGGGCCTTGCCAGAAGAAATGGTGGATAATTTGCCACCCTCAAACAATAGTATATTGGGCCATGTGCTTCACAGACTCCTTGAAAAAACACTCCCTCCTCAAGTTGAATCAATGGTACCTGAAGTACCTTCATTTGCTATTAAAGGGTGCTTACTGGGAAAAACATTTAGTGGAAAAACTACCAGTCTAAAGTCTCTACAAGAAGGTAGAATTTCCTTCTTTTTTTCCCTCATTTATTGGATTCTATTTAAACTGACTAGATCTGCAAATAGCTATATATGTTTGTAGAAATTGTGTAATTGAAAAGGTTATAACAGGGTGATGTTTACTGTCCGATCTAGAACACATTAGATAGTATAGAGTCATAAAATGGGACTGTCCCTCAAACCTGATCATACAGTCACCCTATTTAATAATGATACATAGTATATAAAGAAAGGAGCTGTGGTAGTGTAGTGAATACAAAATGGACTGTTAATCTCAAGGTCAGCAGTTAGAATCTATTGAAAGATAATGGAAACTTTCCATGAAATTTTTGAACTCCCACTTGTATATACCCAAGAGTGAAATTACTGGTTCATAAAGAGTCCTGTAGGATTAGGGGCACTGTAGGTAAGCATTGAACTGCTAACTACAGGTCAGAAGTTCAAATCCAACAGCTGCTCCATGGAAGAAGGATGAGGCTTTCTGTTCTATAAAGATTTACAGCCTCAGGAACCCATACAGAGTTGCTATGAGTTGGAATTGGCTTCACAGCACATAACCACCACTACCACACCACAGTAAAAAGAGAAGTAACAAGTCTTTAAGTATTCCTCACATATTTTATTTCCTTTAGTAAAAAAAGTAGGAAATTAATCATTTGTCAGAAAACACTAATCCGCTCAAAATAGTAAATGCTTGAATTCTTTAACATGTGCTAATTTCTTTTACATTCTTTTTCTCCAATGAGTCTCACTTTTTTCCATTTTCTATCTCTTACATTGGTGTCTGGAGGTGGCACTGTGGGCTAATGCATCAAAACTGCAAAGTCATTTGAACTGCAAGGTCGGTAGTTCAAGCTCACCAGCTGCTCCTTGGAAACCCTAGACAGGATCGCAATGGGTCAGAATCAACTCGACAGCACTTCACAACATCTGTTATATTAAACTTTATTCAGTATAACTGAACTATTGCTGCTTCCACTGGAAAACAGAATTGACACTCATGCAAGTCTTCCTGTACCCATTCCAAGGCAGGAAGGTTATGTCATTATTGGAATGTTAAAATGACCTCCTGAAACAATTTGACACAACCATAATGAGATACAAACATAAAAGTACAAGTATTAACAGGCTGAGGAGCCATTAAACATCCATGACTGGTGGGACTGTAAAATGATGCAGTCACTGTGGAAACCATCATGGCAGTTTCTCAGTAAGTTAAACATAGAATTGCTGTCAAACTAAGCCAGACCCACTCCCATCCAGTCAATTCTAACCCTTTATAGGGTTTCCAAGGCTGTTAATCTTTACGGAAGCAGAAAACCTCATCTTCCTGCCATGGAGTGACTGGTAGATTTGAACTGTCAATGTGTGGCTAGCAGTTCAGTACTTATCTTACAGTGCCGCCGTTTCCTATAGGACTCCTTATGACTCAGCAATTCCACTCTTAAGTATATACAAGGGATGGTTGGTTTGAAACATTTTGGGAAAATTCCACTATCTTTCAATGTCACTTTTTCATGAACTTTTTGAGCTCAAAGAGCTAAAAGCAGGCACTCATACAACAGTTGTACACAAATGTTCCTCGCAGCCCTACTCATAATAGCCAAAAGATAACAAACAATCTAAATGTTCATTAGCTAAGAATGGATAAACAAGATGTAATGTATCTATACAATGAATACTATTCAGCCATAAAAAGGAATGTGGTATTGTTACATGCCACAACTTGGATGAACCTTGAAAATGCAATGCTTTGTAAAACCGGCCAGATACAAAAGGCCACATATTGTGAAACCCACGTGAAAGATCCAGAATAGGCAAATGCATGGAAACACAAAGCAGATTAATGGTTATTAGGGTCAGATTGGAGTGGATGGGGAAAAACTGGCGCAGTTTCCATTTGGGGTGATGAAAATGTTCTAGAACTGCATGGTAGCAGTGACTTCTGTAGAACACTATGATGTACTTTGTTGTTGCTGTTAAGTGTCATTGCTTCTGACTTCTTTCAACCCTGAATAGGGTTTCTAAGGAACAGATGATGGGTTCAAACTGCCGATCTTATGGTTCATAGTCCAATACTGATCCTACAATGCCACTCCAGAAATCCCTGACTCTAGTACATGCCACTAGATTGTACACCTCAAAGGGCTAAAGTAGTCAATTCTGTTACATAAATTTTACCCCTTTCAAAAAAAAAAGAAAGGTAGTTTGATCCAAAGGACAGTTTCAGATGGCTCTGAAGACAGTGTTGTAGGGGAGCCCAGCACATAGGGACAATGGTGTCACTTTCCCACATGAAAAACTATTAATAAAATTATCTCTTTATACTTTAGAGTTTCCTATTCAGATCCTTTCTATTGACGCTCTTGTCCAAGAAGCTATCCAAGCCTTTCAGGACAAAGAGGAAACCAGCGCAGATCTGCTAGGTCAGCAAAAAGCTAAGGAAACGGATCTTCCAGGTTTGAAAGATGATAATAAAGAAAGCCAGGCAAGTGTGATCGCAGTGTTCTCTTCTGCACCTAGTAGAATGGATTGTGAAGCGGGATGGAAACTACTTAATTGTCAGACCAGGAGCATCAAACTTTTTCTGTAAAAGGACAGGGGGTAAATATTGTAGGCTTTATGGGACAATAGGTAAAATTGAGGATAGTATGTAAGTGCTTGTACAGCAGTAGAGAAACCTCTGTCCAGCCCTTCTCACCCTTTTAGCTTTGCAGTGGGCATTCCAGAGTGATGGGACTTCTCAGGGGCCAGTTTCAGTCAGTTGGAAGCTTTCTCCTTACGAAAGAGCCACCAAAAGGGGTGGGAGGAAACTGGAATGTGAGTTTGTGGTATAGTGTGGGTGGGACTGGGGGGCAGGGGAGAAAAACGGAAGAGAACTCACCAAGTTTCAACTCACTGAGATTCCACTAGTTAGAGCCAGCTTAACATTTGCCAACAGCAGAGACCCCAGTATATAGGTGACAATAAGTGATGCCCTTGGATATAACCTGCAGAGACAGGTTGTTGTTATTGTTGTTAAATGCCTTTCAGTCAGTTCCAACCCATTGTGACCCTGTAGAGGGATTCCAAGGAATTGCTTATGAGCTTGAACCACTGACCTTGCAGTTCATACTAACTTTGCAGTCTAGTGCATTAACCCATTGCCACAGCAGGACTCTGAAGAGACAGTATTGTAGTAGAAAGAAAGAGAATCCGAGTGGAACGTCCAGCTCACAAATCAGTCTTCATGGCTCACATGTTCACAGTCTTAGCCCATTCAGCTCTGGTTCACATTTAAACCACCAGTCCATTTAACCCACCCACCCATAATTTTGATGAGTACATTGTTTTTGTTTGTTTCACTTTTGATCTTTATACAATCATCTCTATGCAATCATCTATGCCAAGAAATTTGGAGGACAGTTACCTGGCCAATTGATTGGAAGAGATCCAGATTTGTGCCCATTCTAAAGAGAGGTGACCCAATGAAATGTGGAAATCATCAGACAATATCGTTAATATGGCATGCAACTAAAATTTTGCTAAATATAATTTAAAAACTACTGCAACAGTACATTGACAAGGAACTGCCAGTTTCAAGCTAGATTCAGAAAAGGACTTGAAAAGAGGGATATCATTAATTACATCATATTGTTTTGTGCTGAAAGCGGAGAATACCAGAAAGATGTTTACCTGTGCTTTATTGCTATGCAAAGACCTTCAACTGTGTGGATCATGACAAACAATAGATAACATTGAGAAGAATGGATATTGCAGAACACTTAATTGTGCTCATCAGGAACCTGTACGTAGAACAAGAGGCACCCTTTTGAACAGAATAAAAGGAAAATTAAAGGTTTAAAATCAGGAAAGGTGTGTGCCAGGGTTGTAGTCTTTCACCATATTTATTCAATCTGTATGCTGAGCAAATAATATGAAAATTTGGATTAAAGGGAGAGAAATGTGGCATCAGGATTGGAGGAAGACTTACTAACAACTGCTATATGTAGATGATACAACCTTGCTTGGTGAAAGCAAAGAGAATTTAAAATACTGATGAAAATCAAAGAACACCGCCTTTGGTATGGGTTGCATCTCAATGTAAAGAAAACACAAATCCTTACCAATGGACCAATAAACAAAATCCATATCAATGGAGAAAAGATTGAAGTTGTCAGACTTTATTTTGTTCTGATGAAGTCCAAGGTTCATTGAAGGAATTGTCAAAGAACAAGGCACCAGGAATTGATGGAATATAAATTGAAATATTTCAAGAAAGTGAGGCAGCACAGGAGATACTGACTCATCTATGCCAAGAAATTTGGAAGACAACTATCTGGCCGACTGATTGGAAGAGATCCAAATTTGTGCCCATTCCAAAGAGAGGTGGCCCAACAGAATGAAGAAATCATCAGGCAATCTCGTTGATATTTCATGCGAGTAAAGTTTTATTAAAGGTAATACAGAAAGGGCTACAATCATACATTGACAGAGAACTTCCAGAGGTTTAAGCCAGATTCAGACGAGACCATGGAATGAGGGATATCATTACTGATGTCCGATGGATCTTGGCTGAAAGCAGAGAATATCAAAAAGATGTTTACCTGTGCTTTATTGACTATGCAAAGGCTTATGATTGTGTGGATCATGACAAGCTATGGACAACATTGCAAAGTATGAGTATTCTGGAACACTTAATTGTGCTCATGAGGAATCTGTACCTGGACCAAGAGGCAGATTTTCAAACAGAACATGGGAATACTGAATGTTTTAAAATTAAGAAAGATGTTCAACAAGGTAGTATTCTTTCACCATACTTATTCAAACTGTATGCTGAGCAAATAATACGAGAAGTTGGGTTCTATGAAGAGAAACATGACATCAGGATTGGAGGAAGACTCATTAACAACCTGCGATATGCAGATGATACAACCTTGCTTGTTGAAAGTGAAGAGGACTTAAAACATTTACTGATGAAGATCATAGAGCACAGCCTTTGGTATGGATTACATCTCAATGTAAAGAAAACAAAAATCCTCACCACTGGACCAATAAACAACATTCTTATCAACAGAGAAAAGATTAAGTTGTCAGGACTTCCTTCTTCTTGGTCAACTATCAACACTCACGGAAGCAGCAGTCAAGAGCTCAAACATATTGCATTAGGCAAATCGGCTGCAGAAGATCTTTTTAAAAAATAAAAAGTGTTGAAGAACAAAGATGTCAGCTTGAGGACTAAGGTGCTCCTGACACAAGCCATGGTATTTTCAGTAGCCTCATATGCATACAAAAGCTGGACAGTGAATAAGGAAGATTGTAGAAGAATTGATGCCTTTGAGTTATCGTGTTGGAGGAGACTACTGAAAGTGCCATGAGCTGCCAAAAGAACCAATAGATCCGTTTTGGAAGAAGTGCAGCCAAAATGCTCCTTAGAGGCCAGGATGGCCAGGCTTCGTCTCTCGTACTTTGGACATATTGTTAGGAGGGAGCAGTCGCTGGAGAAGGATATCATGTTTGGTAAGGTGGGGAGTCAGAGAAAAAGAGGTGAATTGGCCAAGTGGCAGCATCAATGGACTCACACGTGGCAACAATCGTGAGGTTGTTTTGTTCTGCCGTACATAATGTCACTATAGGTCAGTACCAACTTGATGACACCTAACAACAACAACAATCAACTCTCATGGAAGCAGCAGTCAAGAAATCAAATGACGTATTGCATTAGGCAAATCTGCTGCACAAGACCTCTTTAAAGTGCTAAAGGGCAAAAATGTCACCTTGAGGACTAAGGTGCACCTGACCCAAGTCATGGTATTTTCAGTAGCCTCATATGCTTTTGAAAGTTGGACAGTGAATAGAGAAGACAGTAGAAGAATTGATGTATTTAAGTTATGGTGTTAGAAAACAACTAAATGTGTTTGAAGAAGTACAACCAGAATCTTCCTTATAAGCCAAGATGGTGTGGCTTTGTTTCTCATACATAGGACATATTATTGTGAGGATGGCACAGGATTGAGCTGTGTTTGATTCTTTTGTACACAGGGTCACTGTGAGTTGGAACTGACTCAACGGCACCTAGTACCAGCAACAACCCTTTTCTCCTACCTTATGCTAGCTCTGCAATTGAGTAAATTAGTCGATTATTCATACAAGAAACAAAATGAATATTACTTAATCCTGAATAACTGAGAGAAGTTTTCCTCCCCGTGTGGCATCTCTTCTCTTATGTAGTAGCACATTTTCAATTCCAACCAACAAGTTTATACATCATGTGTATGTTTTCTATTTATTTCCATATGACTATGACTGACACTTCTACTGGTTGTTTATGTCATTGCTCTAAGGTGTTTCTTCATAAACTCTTCCTCTTTTTCAGCATCCATTCGTATAACCAAAATGGCAGTTACTTTAGTTTACATAGTAATTGAAATCCTGGTGTTGCACCATAGGATAAGCACTGGACTGCTAAGCATAAGGTCAGCAGTTCAAAACCATGAGCTATTCCTTGTAAACGATATACAGGTTCTCTATGATTCGGAACTGACTCATCAGCACTTAACAACAACCTCCTTTGCAGCATTATTCTCAGCTGCATTTTCATAAACTCTACCTCTTTTTCAGCATCTGTTTGTATAATCAAATGGTAGTAACTTTAATTTACAGAGTAACTGAAGGCCATTTGAAAGACAGATTATGCAACAGGTGTAAAATCATTGAGCTTTGTTTCTTTCTCAAATTTTCATTTAGGTACGAAATATCAGTCTTCTTTATCAATAATGTTATAGGTAGAATACTGTATTTTTCTCAAACCCTTTCTCATAGAAGAAACTTAAAAATGTTAAAATCTGTTCCTCTGTGTCTGTGTGTATGTGTGTTTTCTCTCCCAAAGGATCAACAAAAAGTATTTTCAGCTGGTCCAGTTTCAAATGAAACGTTACCAGAAATGGAAGGTAAAGCTATACTTAGTTCACATGATAGCAAAACAAATCACCCATTATTTACACTGTAGGCACAGATAGACAGAATCTGTGAATGTCAACACAGACACCGGGGACCTATGCTGCACAGCTGTCTACATGGTCTGACCCTTTCATACCACTGTAGAATAAGAGGAAAATTGCAAAGGAACATTTTCACTCTCCTGCTTCAAGAACTTGTCTCATTTTGTAGTTGCAAAAATAGCCAGGATGAATCACTCACTCTTCCGGGCTTTGCAGGAAGGCGGTATTTTCTTATTTCTTCCCATTAGTAGGTCTACATGAGCACTAGGTTCACTGTATTGAAGGATGCTGCAGGTCTGGTCTCTTCAATGCACTAGAACAGTGGTTCCTTGGATGAAGCTAATTTAATTCTAACCTTGAGTAAAGCAAATAGAAAGAAGGCTCCCCAAACCTAACAACAGAAAAATGATCTCCCTTGGGATCTGGGCTTTCGTCTTTCAAATCCTTTGTATAACCATTGAAGGAAAACAGTGTTAGGTCTTAAATGTCTCTTCTATTTGTGGTAGTGAAGACTTTGCCGTAATGAATGGTTTCCTTGTGTTTTAGTGGAAACTCAGTTCCTCCTATGATATCATTATTATAATCACCACCAGACAACAGAAAGATTTCATTTGAGTTTGCAACTCTACCACATGGATTTTTTTTTCCCATCTTTTATAAGAGGGTTGTCTTTTCTCCCAGTTATTCCTTAAGAAAGAAATTTTCATTGAGTTTTGAACTATTATGAGTACTTCTATGACTCAAATTATACTACCCACATCTAATAAATGATAAATAATTCTATTTTTTTAACATTGAATTTAACTACAAACCTCTCTGACTTCTAGAGTTGTCTGCTCTGAGACATGTTATCTATAATTTGATTAACTAGGAAGGTAGAAATTTAGTGAGCTGAGTTTTTAACAGTATTTTTTGAAAAACCCGACTTTATTCCAAAAAGAGTAGTGGCGCTGTAGGAACAGCACTGGATTGTGAACCACAAGGTTGACAGTTCAAACCCTATACAGGGTCTCTATGAGTCGGAACTGACTCCAAGGCATTCAACAACAGTAACAACAATAATAATAGTTATGAGCTCAGGTTGCACCAGAAGCAAGGGTGTGGGAAATGTCAGCCCACATAAAGACCAAGTTAGGAGTGAAGGGAAAATCCACGAAGTGGTGATCCTGTTATTTTCTTCTTCCAAGAATCCCAGGCATGGCTGCAATCATTGATCCATCTGTCCAAAACCATAGAGGTTGAATCCTGACCTGGCTGTTGGTTGTAAATCCTGAAACTTTGTTCTCATTACTTTTCTTACTTTCAGGTACTGATACTCATAAAACATCAGATTCTAAAGAAATCAGTATCAGTGACAGTTTCTACAAAGTAAGTATCTTATCTAATTTTGACCATTAGTATTTTGAATATGTTATAAATTCATGACCTCTTGTTGTGTCTTCAAATAGAATAAAATAAATTAAATTCTGTTTTGGTTTTTAAGTAAATTTGTTGGGAAAATAGTAACTAAATCTCTTCCTTCTGGTCTAAAGTTAGTAAAGTGAGTTTACTTAATATTTTTTATTTGCAAAGTGGTAGAAGTTGCTACTTGGTTTTTCCAGGTGAAAAAGTAAGCATGCATTTTTTTTTTTTTTTTTTCATTTTAGACTTAGACCAAATTTATTTTTTGTATGTTTTTTCTTTAAGCCATAATCAGTTACCATAAAATAATTTGACCTATGGCAATCAGATGTGTGTCAGAGTAAAAGTATGCTCCATGGAAATTTCAGTGGCTGATTTTCATGATTCGATTGGCAGGCTTTTCTTCCAACGTACCTGGGGATGGACTTAAACTTCCAATCTACGTCTTAGCTGTCAAACACCTCAACCGTTTGCTCCCCATCCAGGGACTTTCATGTTTTCCTTTCACACTTGACTTAGATTTTTACTTCCTTCCATATACTTTTATTTTCAAACATGTTTTTCTAGAGTTTATCCTTAGCCTCATTGGTGAATATAGAATTTTTTATTCATCCCTAGGATATGTTTATAAAACTTCTCTCATTATATATTTACTATGTGTGAAAACATGTTCTGAGTCTTTAAATAGAATGATAAGTATAAACAAGTAAAATTCCACTCACTTTGTTTATTATACTTGATTATTTTTATTCTCTATGTCATCATAGAAAACAATTTTACAATATTATGAATTTCAAGACTGCTTAAGATAAAGATTTAGGGGGATATACACCAGATTATAAGTATGAATGATGAGGAAGGAAATGGCACAGGGAAAGAGGTAAAGGGGGACTTGTACTTCTTACTCTGTGTGTTTGAAATGTAAGTTAGCAGAAAGGATAAATTGTTGTTGTTGTCAAGTGTCATTAAGTCGGCCCCTACTTACAGCAACACTGTGCACATAAAATCAAAACAGAGCACAATCCTGCACCATCCCCATAACTGTTATGTGTAAGCACTTTGTTGTTGCTACTGTATCATTCCTTCTGGCTGAGGGTCTTTCTCTTTGTCACTGACTCTCCGCTTTATCAAGTATGATGTCCTTCTCCAGGAACTGATCCCTCCTAGCAACAGGTCCAATGAGAATGAGAGACCAAGCCTCACTATCCTTATTCTAAGGAACATCTGGCTATACTTCTTCTAAAATATATAGTTTGTTCTTCTGGCAGTCCGTGGTACTTTCAATACTCTTCTCCAATACCATAATTCAAACATACCCATACTTCTAGTTTACCTTATGCTTTCTGCAAATGTTTACATGTGTGTAAGACTATTGAAAATACCATGGCTTTGGTCAGATGAAACTCAGTTCTCAAATTGGCATCTTTGCTCTAAAACACATTGAAGAGGGTTTTTTCCAGAAGATTTGCCTATCGCAACACATCCTTTTATTTCCTGACTGCTGCTTCCATGAGAGTTAGTTGTTGTTGTTGTTGTTATGTGCCCTGGAGTCGGTTCCGACTCATAGCGACCCTGTATAGGGTTTCTGAGGCTGTAAATCTTTACAGGAGCAGAAAGCCTCATCTTTTCTCCGGTGGAACAGCTGGTAGTTTCGAACTACGACCTTAAGGTTCGTAGCCCAATTCGTAACCACTACGCTACCAGAGCTCCTTGTTAATTTGGTCCCAGGAAAATGAAGTCTTTTACAAATTCACTCTTTTCTCCATTAATCATGATGTTACTTAATGGTCCATTTGTGAGGACTTCTGTTTTCTTTACACTGAGGTGCAATCCATACTGAAGGCTTTTTAGTTTTTTATCTTCATTAGTAAGAATTTTAAGTTATGTTCACTTTCAGCAGGCAAGGTTACATTGTTTGTATATTACAGGTTGTTAATGAGACTTCCTCCAATCCTAATGGCATATTCTTCTTCATATAATCTAGCTTCTTAGATTATTTGCTCAGCATACAGACTAAGTATGGTGAAATGACACAACCCTGGTAGACCCGTTTCCTGATTTTAAACCATTCAGTATCCCCTTGTTCTTTCAAATGACTCTCTCTTGCTCTGTGTACAGGCTCTTCATGAGCACAATGTTATGAATAGTTTGTTATGATCCACACAGTCAGAAGCCTTTGCATAGTCAATAAAGCACAAGTGCACATCTTTCTGGTATTCTCTACTTTTAGCCAAGATGCATCTGACGTCTACAGTGATATCCCCCTTTTCATGTGGTGTTCTGAACTCAGCTTAAATTTCTAGCAGTTTCTTGTTGATGTGTACTGCAACAACCATTTTTAAATTAGCTTCAGCAAAATTTTGCTTATATTATTGATATTATTCAATGATTTCCACATTCCATTTGGTCACCTTTCTTTGGAAGAGGCACAAATATGGATCTCTTCCAATCAAATGGCTAGGTAGCTGTCTTCCAAATTTCTTAGCACAGATGAGTGAGCGCCTGACGTGTTGCATGGGTTTGTTGAAACATTTCCACTTGGAATCCATCAATTCCTGGAGCTTCGTTTTTTGCCAATGCTTTCAGTGCAGCTTGAGCCTCTTCCTTCAATACTATCAGTTCTGGATCAACCTGTTTAAATGATTGAGCACTCACCAATTAGTTTTGGTGCAGTGACTGTGCGTATTCTTTCAGTCTTCTGTTGTTGATCCTGAATCATTTCCCCATAGAATTCTTCTGTATTGGATACCCAGGCTTGAATTTTTTCTTCAGTTCTTTCAGCTTGAGAAATGCTGAGCATGTTCTTTCCTTTTGGTTTTCTAACTCCAGTTTTTTTTCAGACTTCATTATAATAATTAACTTTGTCTTCTTGAACTGCCCTTTGAAAATTCTTTTCAGCTTTTTTACTTTCTCATTTCTTCCATTTGCGTTAATTTCTCTATCCTCAAGAGCAAATTTCAAAGTCTCTTCTGACATCCATTTGTATCTTTTCTTTCTTTCTTCTCCTTTTGATGACCTTTTTCTTTCTTCTTGTATTATGTTCTTGGTGTCATTCCACAACTGTTCGTGTCTATTGCCATTAGTGTCTAATGCATCAAATCTGTTCTTGAGATGGTCTTTAAATTCTCATGGGATGTATTCAGCTCTGTTGAATATGTTTTTATTTTCTTCTGCTTCAGCCTGAATTTGCACATGAGCAATTGATGGTCTTTTCTACAGTCCATGCTAGTAAGCTTTGTCACCATCTGTTCTCACAGATGTAGTTAATTTAATTTCTGTGTATTACAATTTGATGAGCTCCATGTGTATAGTCACTGTTTTCTTTTATGTTGTTGAAAAGGTATTTGCATTGAAGAAGTCATTGGTCTTGCAAAAAAATTCTATCATCCAATCTTCAGTATTGGTTCTGTTACCAAGGTCCTGTTTTCCAACTACTGATCCTTCTTTCTTCCAACTTTCGCAGTCTAATCACCAGTAGTTATCAATGCATCTTATTTGCATTTTTATCCATTTCAGACTGAAGAAGGTGGTAGAATTCTACAGCTTCATCATCACTAGCTTAGTGGTTGGTATGTAAGTTTGAATAATAATGGTATTAACTGGTCTTCCTTGTAGGCTGTGTTTGTTGTTGTTGTTGTTAGGTGCCATCAAGTGGATACCAACCCATAGTGACCTTATGTACAGCAGAACGAAACACTGCCCGATCCTGGGCCAACCTCACTACTATTGCCACACTTGAGTCCATCAGTGCTGTCACTTGGCCAATCCATCTCATTGGGAGTCTTCCTCTTTTTCTCTGACCCTCCACCTTACCAAACATGATATCCTTCTCCAGTGACTGGTCCCTCCTGACAATATGTCCAAAGTATGAGAGACGAAGTTTGGCCATCCTGGCCTTTAAGTAGCACACTGGCTGCACTTCTTCCAAAATGGATCTATTGGTTCTTTTGGTAGCCCGTGGCACTTTCAATATTCTCCTCCAACACCATAACTCTAAGGCATGAATTCTTCTGTGGTCTTTCTTATTCACTGTGCAGCTTTCGCATGCATATGAGGTTATTGAAAACACCATGGCTTGGGTCAGGTGCACCTTAGTCCTCAAGCTGACATCCTTGTAGGTGTATGAGTATTATTCTATCACAGACATCATTAAATATCAAGATGGATCTTGAAATTCTCTTTTTGATAATGAATGTGAAGCCATTACTCTACAATCTGTCATTCCCAGCATAGTAAACCATAAAATCATCAAATTCAAAATGACTGATACCCATGCATTTCAATTCACTAATATCTAGGATATCAATCCTTCTGTGTTCCATTTCATTTTTGACAACTTTTAATGTTCTTAGACTCATAATTTGTATATTCCATATTTCTTTTATAATTAATGGATGTTTGCAACTGTTCTCATTTTGAATTGTGCCCCACCAGCAAGTGATGGTCCCCAAAGCTTTACTTCATCAACATTACTAAGCTCAACTCTGCTCTGTTACCCTATTTTGACAGCAACCACGCCTCCCATGTCACTCTATACTTCACATCTTCGTTCGATAATCCATTGCAATGGCCACACAGAACTTATAACAAGACTTATGATTATGACGTTTCTTAGGGAAGTGAACAGAGTACAATTCAGTATCAAAACACACTCAGGACACAGTAGTTCTCCAGTCAGAAATGATGCTGCCATATTACAGGCATGACTCACACTTACCTTTGGCCTCTAAGTCATGTGGCCCTTTGACCTTTGCCTCAGTTCATAGACCTAGAGCCTGCAGCTGCTCCTCCTCTCCATGCCACCACCTCTGCCATCACCTCTGCCTTCACCATTTTTCTAGGTAGAGATCTCACACCCTACTCATCATGCTCTTCCTTATTGATGGTGCTAGGATCATCCATTTCTGTTTCTGAGATGGCTCCTTTTAAGTCTAGCTAGACAGCAAAACTAACCAATCCCAGTCTTA